GGGGGGGGGGGGGGGGAGAATGTCCTTGATTCAGGATGGAATGTTGGGATTTCTCGGCTTGTTTCTTCATTTGTCCAATTTCTGTGGCCGCTCATTTCAGTCAATAGTCTGGGCAGCTTACAGTTAAAAAAACAAAACATTACAGTTAAAGATATTGAAAGCTTTTTAAAACAATAAAAATAGTAAAACCAATAAAAACACTAAAAGCATCCAAATGATTATGTAGCAGTTCCTTTATTGGGGCTATCTTTGGGCTGTACAGGTGGTCCTCCTTTAACAACCATGCGGTCAGACTTCCAAGAGTCCTTCACAAGTGGGTATGTACAACCAGACCACATACTTACGGCCAACACAGCATCTCCACAGTCACATGATCAAAATTTGCAACCTTTCCCACAGGCAAAATCAATGGGGAAACCAACAGGAAGCTGGAAGTCATGGTCACAAGGACGCCCTTGCTTAACAACTCATATGATCCTGGTTTAACAATGACAACAGGACCATTGGAACTGCCACCGCTAAGTTACATCTGTGTGACTTAACATTCCGGTCCTAAAAAACTATCTGTGTTATAAGCTGGTGGTGTCGCCTATATTCTTTGGTTGAAATGGCATTGGGGAGGGGGGTTGTCTGGTGGCAGGGAAGGTTTATTTGGGTCTGGCAAGGAGATGAGCTTGGTCTGACCCAGATCATATCTAAAAGTCAAAGTGGAAAAAGGAGGCAGCCTCCATTTTATTTGCTACATATTTATTTTCTCCACACTGCTTGATAAGGAGGCCTCTCAGCATAGACCGGTTGGTTCAACAACATGATCTAGAACAGGGGTCTCCAAACTTGGCAACCTTAAGACTTGTGGACTTCAACTCCCAGAATTCCTCAGCCAGACATGCTGAAGTCCACAAATCTTAAAAGTTGCCAAGTTTGGAGACCCCTGATCTAGAAAAAGGAAAGTTCCTTACATGGCTTTGAGACAGATCCAATTGCTGACAACCTTGTCACTCTGTCCCCGTCTTTCCCAGATTCCCACTCCAACACGCTGCACTATTTCTACACCACAGTTTGGGAACCCAAGCAGGATACCCCCTGGTTCACTGCCGTGGCCTCCCTGAATGGCCACCTCGGCGGTCACTATGACAGCAAGACAAGGCGGGCTGTACCTCGACTGTCCTGGATGAAGAAAGTGGAGGAAGAGGACCCCCAGTTCTGGGCATGGAACACGGAGAAGGCCCGCAGCGATGAGCTGAGGCTTTGGAGAGATATGGAGAACCTCAAGAAACAATATAACCAAAGTGGGGGTGAGTGGATAATCAGAGGCAACTCCAGTTTACCTACCTGTTGGTTGTAGATCAGCGGTCCCCCAACCTTTCTGATTTGGCAGACTGGCGGGGTGAGTGAGAGGGGATGGTTCTATGTCAGCAGCAGGCACGTTCGTGTGCGCACAACTCCATTTGAGCAACTGGTGGATGCATGCACACTGCTTCATGTAAATGGAGCTTTGTGCATGAGTGCCTACCGCTCATGTAAATACAGCTTCATGCGCAAGTGGCTAACGCTTGCGTAAATGGAGTTTTGCGTGTGAGTGCCTGCCGCTCGCGTGAATGGAGCTTTGTGAACGAGTGCCTACCACTTGCGTGAATGGAGCTTCGCGCGCGAGTGCCTGCCACTCTCATAAATGGAGCTTCACACACAACTGCCTACCACTCACGTAAATGGAGCTTCGCACGCGAGTGCCTGCCACTCGTGTAAATGGAGCTTCATGAGCGAGTGCCTGCCGCTCATGTAAATGGAGCTTCGTGTGCGAGTGGCTACCCCTCATGTAAATGGAGTTTTGCGTGTGAGTGCCTGCCACTCATGAGAATGGAGCTTTGTGAACAAGTGCCTACCACTTGCGTAAATGGAGCTTCGCACACAAGTGCCTGCCACTCGTGTAAATGGAGCTTCATGAGCGAGTGCCTGCCGCTCCCATAAATGGAGCTTTGCACATGAGTGCCTACCGGTGGCATAAATGGAGCTTTGTGCGCGAGTGCCTATCACTCACATAAATGGAGCTTCGTGCACGAATGCCTGCCACTCGTGTAAATGGAGCTTCATGCCATTTTGCAAATTCTGCTTATGTGTGTGCAATTGATCTATTTTTCCTCATTATCTGGACTGTCTTCAAAGAGAAAGTTAAATAATGATACTATGTGAGATGGCAATAATCAATGGGAGGCATTTGTTGGAGGTGCTCGGTGGGAGAGAAAGGTGAATCAATTTTTCAGAAAGATCTAAGTGGCTTAACAGTTTGTATGTGAAAATGAGGAAAGGAATACACTGAATGTATTTATAATTTTTATCGTATTCAATCCATTTGAGACAGTCTTGATTCCAGCAAGTCCATTCAGTTCTCTTGGCAACATTTTTTGGAAATAGTTTGCTGTTGCCTTTTCTTTCCTCAGATTGAGAGAAACAGACTGGCCCAAAGTCACCCAGCTAGACTAGAACTCACAGTCTCCCAGTTTTTCACCCAGCGTCTTTAGAATGGACACCAAAGTGGAGTACAATAATGACCAAATCAGCTAGTTCTACTTTGGGAATAATTCTGGAAGAAAGAAGTGTTGCTGTACTTACCTTTATCAATCCCATCACCTTTTAATTCTAGAAGCTTCCTCTTCCCAAACCTTTGTCCCTGTTGGGAGGGGTAACCCAGAATGGAGGCTGCTCCCCATTCCTGCCCCTCTCCCTGATAGTGTTGGAATTCATTGTTGGAATGTATTTCTATGCAACTACAGTAGTATTCAGCCAGTAGATGGCAGTGTTTACAAGTTTGGATGTCATGCCTCCCTGAAAATGAGCTGGAAAGGGACCCTATGGAGGTTGAGGGAGAGGTGTCTGTGGTTTCAGAGGAATGTGGGGAAGAGCAGGCTGAGGCAGGCCAGGGCCCTTCAGGATTGGGACAGGATGAACAGGAGAGACAGAATTCAGGTAATGAGCAAGGGCCACCCCCACCTGAACCTAGAGCACGGAGAGTGGAGAGAAGGAGGGAACATCGCAGGCAGGCTCAATTACTCAGGAGGAGAGCATCCCGCCCGTATCCACAAGGCACACCTGGAGAATAAAATTTAAGGAGATGCTGTGGGGAAAGGCATTTGTTGGGAACAAATGCTGATTCTTTGGAGTTTTGTGTGGGTTGTTGTTGATCTCTTGTTCTGTGACTTCTGCTTGGAAACCCAGAAACTCTGACCATTGGACTGGCTGACAATGTTGCTTGTATGTTCAAAGATACAGCACGGAAACGGCATTGGTCACGTTGGTAAATGATCTCTGGAGGGCCCGGGACAGGGGTTATTCCTCTGTCCTTGTTCTTTTGGACCTCTCAGCGGCTTTTGATACTGTGGACCACAGTATCATGCTGCGGCGGTTGGGTGGGTTGGGAGTGGGAGGCACTGTGATGCGGTGGTTCTCCTCCTTCCTCACCG